AAAAAAAAAAAAAACGACCATGTACAGTGAGGCTTTTTTTAGGACATGTTGCATATTAAGGTGTCGGGGAAAAAAGAGCAAGGTTACATTTTGGCTTTTTTTTAACGTTCTTGAAAAAAGAGCAAGTGTTTTATCAGGCTTTTTTTCGCTTTCATGAAAAAAGAGCAATGGTATAGTAGGACTTTTTTCGGACACGATAGGCTTTCGTGAAAAAAGAGCAAGTGTGATGTAAGGAAAAAAACATCAACATGGGGTTCACAAAAAACATGCATATCGTGACAGTTAAAAGTTTTTCACTTTCATCTACCTCACATTTTTCATGTTATGTGTTGGAATCCAGGTGCCGACCTACCTGTCTTACCTGTCTTCCCATCAACCAATGTGTACTGGGGAGCTGTGTTTTGAGGAGGTCCTCCACATGTGGTGAAGAGTGTCTTTTGCACTCGGCTCTCGGCTGCGCAAAGGATGGCTTCTCACAGACTGCTCAGAAGACGGTGAGGAACGGGCTCCCCATTCCCGCAGACATCTTCACCAAGCCGAGCCACAGAAAGAGGGCTCACGGAACTCCTTACTGCCGCTTTGAGCCCGCAAATCTACTTGTCCGCTTCACACTAATGGTGTCATCATACTAATACGAGTGACACCAATGTCATTTATGTTTGGAAAGTCATGAATAAAACGCAAGGGGATTTGTTTTTGTTTTCAACCTGATAAAAGGACAAAACACGCTGGTTGGCCAAAACTATTCAAAAGCTACACTTTAAAAAATAAAATCAAAAGTAACCAAAATATTATGGCAGATTTGTTTCATACATGGTCTTCCTGTCCCCACTGCGTTCTGAGTTGAAAAGCGCAAGCATTTCCTATTCTTTGGTTTTGCTGCCACCTTGTGGTTAGACCTGCAAACTGAAACGGCAAGCGTTCACACAGGAGGACTGGCGAAAGACGTCGTGACGTTTAATTGCGTTAAACGTTGTAAGATCTTACTTGTAACTGGGTAAATAGGTTACAATTCGAGTTGATGGTAACTCCTCTCCTGACGCGTCATTATCTGCACAGATGTGTCACAACCACGCTCTCTCCCAGGCAACTTTTGAATTTGTTGCGCTCGCAGACTCAAATGCTGATTCGACCCCGCCTGACTCCAGAGTTTGCATCGGTGTGGGGAGGAACAAGAATACAGCTGCTCAAAAAGTTTGGAGTTATCTGTCAACAATAATTCGCTTCCTCATTTTCTTGTCACAATCACGCAATACTAAAAAAAAAGTGTGCTGGTGCACTTGCTCAGAGGTGCTCCGGCGTTATGGTCAGACCCGCGTGATGTCTTGAGAGGCACAGAAACGACTTAGAGAAGCTTTGTTTATTTCTTATCTTTCTTTGAACACTTTCAACTACAAATATGAAGTACTTAGAGCACAGGTGTCAAACTCTGGTCCCTGACGGCCGCTTTGCTGGATGTTTTCCCATGTCTCCCTGTTGCACCACACTTGATTCTTGGTTTTTTACTGTTCGGTGCTTTCTACCGTCTTTGTTACTGATTTGTTGCTTTACTGTTGTATATGTTAGTTGTTCCATGTACAGCACTTTGTATGCAGCGATGGCTGTTTGAAAGTGCTCTATAAATACAGTTGAGTTGACTTGATTCCAATGATCAGGATCAGGATCGGGCTCCTCCAGCGCTTGTTGATGATCTGATCGTTTGAATCAAGTGGATTGCAGCAGGAAACGATGGAAAACTTGCAGGAAAGCTTTGGCCCTCAAGAACCAGAGTTAGACTCCTATGACTTGGAGTGTTTCAATTCCACTTGGAATGAACAAACAATTAAGACTATCTTGAACAAATTATTTACCAAAAAAAAAAAAACAATGTCAGAACCCGTCACTCTCACGTCCCACAAACTTGATGGCTTTTTGTTTTGGTACAAACACATTTTGTCTATGGGACAAATGAATACAAAACTACAAGTATAAACACACTAAATAAGTCTGCAAACACAAGACATCAGCTGAGGAGTGACCCGAAAATACAAAGACGTCTTTGGAGCGGAACATTTCCGACAAATCAAAGCTTTCGGGCTGGTGGAAATTCAGTTTGAAGATTAGAATTCAATCTTACATCATTTTTGTTCTGTGTCCCATGAACAAAATTCCAGTTTTCTTTTGCACCGACAATTCAGACAAAAGCGATGCTGACAAACTTTTTTTCAATGGACTGTGAGCAACATGTTAAGTTAAGCTTTGAGGAGCTGTCGGCCACGGCTCTGTTCACGTGCTTTGAATCAAGCGAACAAACATGGACGCACAACATGGCGGCGCCACCATACAAGTAAATCAAGCCCAAAATGTTCGACGCACCTTCACAGCGTTAACTCTTAACGCAGCATTCGAGGAACATGAGTCATCCATCTCGCGGGCCGGCCATCTTGCCACTGGTTGTCGACTGAAAATAACTTCACATTCGCTCAGGTGACGAGCAATCACAGTTCACGTGTGCACCGAAGGTGCGCCACCATTGGTCGTGACTTGACATCATTTTCAGTCGACAGCAAGTGGCAAGATGGCCGGCCCGTGAGATGGATCAAAGCGAATGGCTTAACTCATCTTAATTAGAATGCTGTGTTCAGACGAGTGGAGGTGCATAAAACAACCATTCGTTTTCTCCTCCTCTGAAAGTCTGAAATGTGGCAGGAAACCGGAGTACCTGGAGACAACGCATGCAGGCACGCCGGAGTTGGACTTGAACCCTGCGCCGCTGCACCGGGAGGCCGACACACGAACCAGTGGACCACGAAGCCGCCTGTGTAAAAAAGATAGTTTTGCAAAGGTCATTTTCGACTTCTTAAGAAACTCGCTAACCATCCGAGTCGAAGACTTCAAATGGCTTCAACAGTGCCGCCCCTGGTCAACTGGTTAGCGTGTCGGCCTCCCAGCGCAGAGGTGCAGGGTTCAATCCCAGCTTCGGCCTTCCTGGGTGGAGTTTCTGCTTTCGCCAACATTTTTCAGGTGGATATGATCTATTTGGGATGCCCAAATCAAGTCACTGCAAGTGTTTGATTTTAGCAAGTGTTGACTCTCCTCTTATTTCTTTATTTCAAGTGAGCGCGCACACTCAGTGTGTGTATGTTACTCACACACACAGATATGAAACGAGTGCTGGTGTGTGCATGTGTGTTACTCTCACACACGCACACACACGCAGAAATGAAAGCTGATGACTCCACCTTTTTTTTTTTTTGTCGGTGTTGGTGGGTGTCTTGGATGGTCTTCACGTTCCTTTATGAAGAGACCCCGAGGTGGAAGTGGAGCGGCTGGTCACCTGTGCGAAGACAGAAGAAGAAGTTCAACTTCATGACATTCATGAGGAACGGATGACATGGATAACGACACACATCGATTCCGATTTCATTCTGATCCGAGAATGAATGGAAATGCCATTATTACAGACTGCCCACCCCCTTAGAACAATTTCTACATTCTTGGACTGTATAGAATATAAACATAGTCACAAAATGAAATGCAAGTTTGTTTTGTTTTTTTCACACCACTGAGAATGTAAACACAGTTTTTTGCAAAAATAAACCTTTGGCTGAAGACCCCCCCCCCTCAAATTCAACAACAAGAGGTCAGCAGCTTCGAGAAATATTTGCTTTTTTTTTTTTTAATAACTAAGGCGGTATGTACACTGTTGTCCACATGAGCAAGAATCAGGACAATTTTGTGTTTGGTTTGTGTTGAACAAATACAAGTCAACCTTCACTTCTTGTGAGGACCCACGGTGAGAGCCATGAACAATGAAGCGCTATACAACACATATTGCCCAAAAAAAAAAAAAAGCCAAACTTACTTGCTTGGAGGCTTCAGAGGAGGGATGGACTTCATTTGCAAAATGTCCGTTGAGCCGTAACATTGCTGGAAAGACACAAAGGTGTCGAAACGTCATGAACACTTGACGGCGTTGCGGAAGTTTGCGTGAAGGGCGCTGCTCACCCTGCGGGTCCAGCCTCGGGTCGACAAAACCCCAATGCTGGTAAAGAGCCGCCAGCTCGTGAGGACCGTAGCTCTTCAGGAGGCTCACCGCGTCAAAGTCCGGGGGCGCGTCCGCCACGGCGGCAGCGTCGCTCTTCGCCTGAGTGTAAAGCAGCGGTTCCAAGTAGGCCCGGTGGCCCCACATGCTCATGGCGGCCCACAGGTCGGCCCCTTTGGGACTCAGGGCGGGGACCCTCTGGGAGAGGTGTCGATCCGAGTTGGTCGACGCCCCGCCATGACTCAACATGAAGCCCAGGCCCTCTTTTGGGAAGTTTCCCTCCGCCGCCGTTCTGCCGGACGCGCTCGCTTTGCTGGCGCTCTCCGCCGACTGCTTCTGTTCGGACTTCACCCTCACGCGCGAATCTGCGGTTTTGGCGTCCTTCGCCGGTGGCTTGGACTTGGCACCTGATTGGCTCTTAGCGATCGCCCGCTTAGTGCCGCTGCCGGCTGGAGGTTGCGTGCGGCGGCTTCTGGGCGCGGGCAACGTCGGGCAGTCTTTCCCTTCGAGGAACGGCGGGGCTCCCGTGCGCCTCCACTGGGATGTCTTTGGACCCCGGACGCCGTTAGTGCACGGCGCCCACTTGGGGGCCGCCGAGCTGCTGTTGCCCACCCTGTGCGAGACCCGCTGATGGATCCACAGCACCTCCGGGTAGAACGTAGCGTGGGAACAATACGGACATTGATGCCTCGGCAGAGCTTCTTTTAGAACAGAGTCCTGTCCTTTCTTGTCCGTCTGTGCCGACAAGTTGAGAAGACTGCCCGAATGGCTGCCCGTCTTTATTTCCCCGTCGTCCATCGTCTCCGTTTTGATGTTCAACTCACCAGGCAGGCCGGGGTAAGGGTTCCAATATGGCTGACAAAGCAGAGCGCTCCTTTTCCTGAGGTAGTCCACGTACCTGGAGGCCTTGGAACTACTTTGGGTGGCCGCTTTGCCCGAGGCGGCGCGCTGTTTCCCGTCGTGATGCTGCGCATGCACGTGAGACCTGAGTAGCGAGGCGTCCGCAGTGTGGAAGTCACAGTGCTCGCACAACAAAGGCTTCTCGTCTGAAAGGCAGAAATATGAAAAGCATTCGAGAAGCAGATCGAATGCCTGAGTGTGCAACGAAGAAAACAATTTGAAAAACCAACACTTTCAAAGTAGCCATGAATCTCTGCCATGTTAGAAAGAGGCTTGCTCTAATTCCATCACAGGTCCACAAGAGGTCTCCTGAACCATGCAATGAAATGTGCATCGAGAAAGGAAGTCACTTTTTTGAGCATTTGTGTATTTTTCATTTATGTGCATTATTGGTCTATTTTTTTCTTTTATTCGGAGTAAAATTTTCATATTCTTTTTCCTTCTATTTTTCCATTTTTTGTTTGATATTTTACTATATATCTTTATTTCCCCAAGTAAGTTTTTCACATTTTCTTCATCACTTTTTTTTTTGTCAGGGTCAGATTCATGCATGCATTTGGATCTATTTGTGCATTTTTCAGCTAATTCTGTTGTCGTCAAAAATATTTTGAGGGGAGAAGAAAATTGTAATTTTGTCAAAGTTTTTTTTTGTCTTCTATGTCTAATGATTGTATATCTTGTAATAATCACATTTATAGTTCTCATATTTTCCAGCTAATAGTTTTTATTTTGTAAGGAAAAGTGTTTTTTGATCACTTTTTTTTTTTTTTTTCAAATATGTTCTCCTATTTTGTTAAAAGTGTTGATTGTTACCTTCCTGCTCTTGATTGCGGTTGACGCGTTTGTCCTTCTCGGCTCTGTGTTGCAACGCCTCGTAAAAGGCTTGCCCGAGTCCATTCAGCAAGATGCGATCTTTCTGGCAGCTCTTCTTGTCCTTATCCGCTTGCTCGAGGCCGGTATCGCCCTTCTTCTTTTTGGCGCTGGAAGCGGGGACGTCGCTGGGCTTCCTCTTCTTCTCTGGCTTAGCGGGGATGTATTCGCCCTTCGCCGTGTGATACGCCGCCTCCTCGGCGCCGGCTAGTCGTTCCTCCCAGCCCAGGGATCTCTCTGCAGTTTCCGCCAGTCGCCCCCTTGTGGCTAACTGCCAAGCCTGGAAGCTGCACACGGGATCCAACTCCGGGATTCTCCGGCCCAGATTTCTGTCCGCCTGGGCGTCCTTCAGTGTCACGCAAGTGAGGCTGAGGCTTTCCAGAAAACGGTTCTTGGTCACTTGCGAGCCCTCGCGGTCTTGTGCTGCATCGTGGCAGTGTTTGTGTAAACTTTCGTGCGTGCGCAAGGTCTTGCGGTCCATGAAGAAGTGGCCGCAGTAACCGCAGAGCTCGTAGAGGCACTCGTCATTGGCGAGCACGGCGGGGTCCTGCGCCACGCCGTTGATGGTGGCGGGCGGCTCGTCGCTCTTGCCGCCCCGCAACTGCGCTTTCACTCGGTGGATGCGCATGTGGCTCTGCAGGAACCACGCCTGGCGGAAGCGGCGGCCGCAGATGCGACAGCCGTGGTCCTGCGTGCTGCGGTGCTGCTTCATGTGCGACTTGAGTAACGGCACCTGGGGGAAGTGTTGGCCACATACGCTGCAGGAAAAGGGCCAGGCGTCCAATTCCTCAGTCTCCAAGTCTTTTTCTTTTTTCTTGCTCGCTTTCTTCTTCCCCATCTCAGGAGTGTCCGATATCTCCGCTTCGGCCTGCCGGTCGCCAAGGCCGAACAGGCCCAGCTTGTGGCTCCGGATGTGTGCCTTGAGGGTTCCCTTCTGTGCGGTCCTGTGGTCGCAGTAGGGGCATTTGTAGGGCTTCTCGCGGGTGTGTCGCCGCATGTGCTGCGACAACGAGCTGAGGAGCGGGAAGCTGCGGCCGCACACGCCGCATGTGTGGCCGGAAGCGGCGTCGTCCTCCGTCTCCGAGTCTTTCGGCGGCGCTTCTTCCTGCCGCCTCGCTTTGGCCTCCATCGATCGCTGTTCCTCAAGTGTTGCAGGTCTGACGTTTGCCAATTGGGTTGCTTTTAGAGAGCTGTTAGGTCGTCGGAGAAGCCGCCCAAAAATCTGGAAAGCATCTCTGCTTTGGACTTATCCAGTCATTCTTCTCCAACACACAGACTCAACTCAACCTGAAAGACAACACTGTCAAAGTTAGCAGTTTTCAACATTTGAAGTAGGGCTGAACAATTGATCATAAATTCGAAGAGCCATCGCAATGTAGTAAAATGCAGTTTGCACACGACGAAGGTTGCTGCAATTTGGGGGAAAAAAAATGCTTAATTTAGGTCAAATATGTGTGTCGTTTTTTTCAATTAATATTTACTGGGGAGGGTGTCCCAAAAAAAAAAAAAAGCTGTACGTGCAATTTATCCACAATAACGTCCACAGTAATCAACCAAATTATTTAGAATTAATTCACAGGCTAATTGATTCACAACCATTTTTAAGAACCAGACAGTTCTTTGTTGTTGTTTCAACTCAGTTTCACCTCATAAATGAGGGGAAAAGAAGCGCAAGCTCGACACCGACAATCCATTGAGGACAATTTGCAATTACAGAGACCTCGAGTAGTAACCTTTGTCCCTCACCAGTGGAGAGGCGGCTGTCTGCATCTATTAGAGCGCCAGCCTCTGTCCAAATTGAGTGTGTGAGGCCAAGCATGAAGAGACATATTCATTCCTGGGCCAATGAGGATGGGCCCTCGGGGTCAGCACACACTAATTCACGATCAATAATCCATTATGTCCTAACTTTGGTGAGCACAGAAACGCACACTTATGCCGGGGCCGAGTGCTGCTGACATGACAGTCTTGTTTGGCGGTGGCATGTTAAGCACGGCTGTTTAATGAATCATTTGAATGGTTACTGTGTAGTCTTTTCAAACTTGTGGGAAAAGGAGGTTTAAGTGGCTAGGAGACACGTGCTTGTGTGCACAATGGTGCCTGTTCTGAACCGAGCTTGCCGGACATGTGACTGGGTCAAACACACGGCGACAGTTTTTTTTTTTTTGGGTGAAAGAACGTACACTCCGCAGTCCGATCGCCATCCGGGCAGCAAAAAGTAAAACCTGCTATTGTGTCTGCAGCACTAGAACTGTCACATCACTTCACGTCTGGGGCCCCCGCTGTCTCGGTCGGGGGTTCGAGGGGGTCATTGTTTGAGCAAGAGAGGCCGTGGCCTGCGTGTCACCGCGCGAACAACAGACAACTGCGACCGGCCTTCGTATGGACGAGTGCGACGGAGGTGATTTTTCGAGAGGGGTGACAGAAGCTCGCCTGTCTAGTTATCTGCGTGGCATCTGTCCTGGGAAGGGGCTCGAGATGGAGTCCCGTCACGAGGTGGCAGGTGTTTGCAGACGCCGCCAGATTAGCGTACGGGTAATGTAGCACGCCGTCCTCCGACGCGGGGGGGGGGGGGGGGGGTGGGCACGGCAAACTGGAGGGTGGCAATTAGGGGGTTATGGTTAAAGCACAATGGGGATGAAGTCAACAGATGGGAATAAGCAGGCCATCAGTCTGTGGGGGGGGGGCTTCAACACCACAGCACTAAGAGCCTTGTCAAGCAACCTACAAAGTGGAAATCTCCCGAAAATGCCTCATCGGGCTGTCAGCGCGGCTCCCTTCAACCAACATCAAAGGATTAACCTGTTCGTAAACATGAAGTAGGCGGACTCAATCGTAGCCCTGAAAAGACGGTTGCAGGACCTCAACACGTTTGTGTAGCGAGCCTTTCACGGTATTGAAGCACTTTGGGTCAACTTTTTCGCATAGATTTGCCCGTTTGCAATGAAGAGCACCACGGTGGGTTAGCTTTAGCTTCTCACACGAGCAGCAAGTTGGTTAGCTGCCATATGGTTGTCCCTTGTGATCAAACGTCTTATTAAGAATGGCTGTTAACGCTTTACATTCCATTCATGTTTGATTTCCTTTGACACATTCTAAATGTGAGGGCTCCGAATAATTAAAGTGTCTAACAAGCGCTTTACGCTGATAGTCTCTTGTTTCATAGTTTTCATCTAAAATTATTTTTTTTTCCTGTTTTATATTTGGGTATTTTTTTGTCCGAGTTGCATTATTTTTCATATTAATTGTCTTGTATGTACTATTTTTCACAACATTTTTAACTTTCATCTTTTTTTTTTTTTTTTATTTTGGTCAAGCATTTTTCAAATAAATGTGTTTAATAAGTAATTTTATTGTAATATATTTTTGTCTATAATATTATACATTTATCACTTTATATTTTTATTTACACACACACACACTATTTTTTATATATATATATATATATATATATAAAATAGCCCTCTTTTTCCCTCTCTCATTCCTCATTTGTTCACCTCTTGCACTCCTAGTGCCTTTGGAGAGGTGCGCAAAGTAATTTTGCTCCGGGGGGGTTGCGCATATCTTTTAGAATACTTCCCACCCCTTTTCTCTCCCTTTTCTTTGGCAGATGAATAGGCATGGCCAGTCAGCTGTCCTCACATTGATTCATCCTGACGTCGCACAACTAGCTCAGCACAAACTCCCTACGGTGAGACTGCCGTGTGCTCTTCATGTGTGTGAGCATGTTCTTGCATGAAAATAGCTCCCGCCGGTGTGCGTGTTGCACCAAAACTGGGGGTGTCATTTCCTGCCAAGGACTACAAATAGCATCATGACTGAATATGATTTTTTTTTTTTGCAAGGCATCCAAAATGGCTCCTGTGGCTATTTTTAGGTCCACTGTTTAATTGTAACCAAGTACGACGGCATCGGTATTTTCTTCACAATCTATCGAGTGTTTTCGAGGTGAGGTCATCCAAACATTCCCAACAAGCAGTCGCAGCGGGCCTGTGCCAAAGCTACCGCTGACTGGAGAGCGAGCACGTGACTGTCCTTATGTTTGTGTCCAGAGCCTCGCTCGCTGGCTCACTAAGCCGCACCTCCTCATCTACTGTTTTTCTGACCAATAATCCTGTCTGTTTTCATCAAACGGCATCAAACAAATCAACGTCAATGTTTTTGTGTTGGGTAAATACAAAGCCCGCTCATCTTCAAATAATACCGCACATTTACAATCCTCAACAAAAATGTCAATGCCAAACAGCGAGCATATCTTTTAGCTTCAGGCTACTGGGTCGGATTGATTCCAAACCGAGCGTGTTCACCTCTCATTCAACTTGATTGTCCATAATACAAGGCCGGCAAATTAAAATTACAGACAAGGGGTCAGAAACATTTCTACAGAGACAAAAGAAACCATCTCTTCAATTTGAAAACAAGGGATACTACACTGAAGAGTGCCAAAGACTACCGGAGATGACGCACAAAAACACGAGTGATAATGAGTAGAGAATAGCGAAGACCGGCCAAGAGGAGCAAATACGAGAGGTGTTACGTCATCTAACAGAGTCAAGACTAGCACAGGAAGAGAGGAGGGAAGATGGGCAAAGACAAGCAAAATAGCAAAAACTAGCAAAGACGGGCAAAAACTACTTGGAGAATTTGAGAAGAGTTGTTCAAGACCCTTTGGGAAAACTACCATCTCACACATGCTCACATTTAAAGACGCAAGTTAGAGCATTTTTAGTCATCGCAGACTGAGATTTGACAAAGACTGAATTTTGGCGGGTCCCTATTTACAAGACTATAATTGGATGCTTAGGCATCACATCACGCTCATGTTTTCGCCAATGTTTTTCCTTCGTCCATGCTGCTCTCATGATTGTCCCCCCCCCACCCCTGGCCCCATCACGCTCATGTTTTCGCCGATGTTTTTCCTTCGTCCATGCTGCTCTCATGATTGTTTGAAAAATGTCCTGCTTCCAGTTTTGTTAAGAGTTCATCAATTGTTTATTGCTTGCGTCACATCACTGCAAAGACATTTTATCAAGACTTAACACAACGCGTCCTCCTCCTCTAGTTGCGTCCAGCAAAAGCGCAAGCGTCTGCGGGCTTTCTCATTGGCTATCGTTGCATTTCGCGCCGCGTTCGCAAAGTCCGCGGTTCGTCTGACCCCCCACACGCAATTTGAGGACTTGCGAGCAGAAATATTCAATAAAATTGCTGAGCCCAACCATTTTCTCAGCAAATCGGGAAGGGGGAAAAACAACAGGACGGTTGTGATGTTTTACCCCGCGGGGACTTTAATCGTCAAGTGGGTGGGGGAGGGCGCAACATTCCTATTGGAGCATATTGTCACTTAACGCTTTTGTGACATCTCAGACTTGGGCCTTTGATGCCGGTGATCAGAAAGGGGAATACGTGGTGGTGTCGTTGGCCATTTCGATATCCTTGCACATCAGACAGAAAGTACTGTTGGGATTTATCTCATTTTCCGCTGTGTGTCAAGGAAGCCATTCGTATAGCCAGCCAGCCGTCCTCAGCTGGTTCCTCGAGCGACTTAGCAACAATGAAGCCGGGGTGGCCGAACACTGCCAAACACGTTCATTATTTCCCCTGAAATAGTCTTTGGAGCATCGTCTGTGTTCGTGGCTAACTTTTCCTGTTGTGGGCACCCAATCTCGATTTAGCATGGATTGGCTGGTGTGGGAGACACTGGTGTATAATCTGCGGGCATTAACTTGCACTCTAAAAAAAGCACTCTCAACAGGGATTAGATTATCGCGGCAAGGTCAGCCTCGACTCACAGCAACCGTTTCTCTCGATGGCCTCGGTGGTTTCAAACCGCTGGACAGATGTACGTTTGGACATCGGTCTCATGCTGATCGGACGCCTAAAGATTTCCGAAGCTTCAGACTAAAAACTAAAAGTCGGAAAAAGGTTTAGGGTTAGACTGAAGTCAGCACGCGCTCCCGTCATCTCGACAGCTTCATGGAAGGTCTCAGCTGTTTCAGATCCGGCTTATCTACATCGACATCAAACCTGACGTACACACGTTTCTAATCCTAGCATAGCTTTGTGATGTAAAGGTCACTCTGTACAATGGCTAAATACGGCAAGCTCCTCTTCTAAAAGATGCCAACATGTGTAAAAATGTCCTTTTTGCAAGCTCTGATCAAGGTGATGATCGTGGCGAGGTAAGGCAATATGCGCTCAGCCATTTTGCCCTGCGGCAAAGCAGGAGAATGACAGCTGGCAGCAGGGGTGTGGATTAGGTTTCCCCGTCGGGGCTACTGCATCTTTTACACCGCCCCGCTGCTCGGGAGTAGAATGGTGCTATAGTAACCCGATTCCCTTGCGCGCTCATGCAATCTCGTCTCAGCCCTCGATGGGGTTAAACAGAAGAAAGGATGGGCAAAACGTCTTACTCATCGCCGTCACCTTCCATCTGGATATCCTGCACACCATCTCGAAACAAACCTTTCAACTCGACCGCAGGCAACAGAGTGAGAATAAAGTCAGTGTGGTCCTGCGTTTCACTCATTTAAACAATCACTTTGAAAACCTTTTTTCCCCTCAAAAAAGCTATTCCAAACACTTGCCAGACTTCATCAAATCTTGTGTGTTTTTGTCAGAAAGAATCACAACCTTGCTTTACGAAAAGCTACACACACAAAAAATATAACACTGGTGAGCCATTTTTAGACAGGGTCCGCGGGGGGTGGGGGGTGGGGCAAACTGGTACCTGCATACACCTGGATGGATGGATGGATGAATATACTTTATCAATCTGATGAGAGAATTAAGTCAAGATAAAACCAGTTAACCAATGCGTCAGCCACTGTAGACGTGCTTAGGATGGCCTTGCCCCGTCTCACCTTTCTGTCTGCT